CTATATCTATATAAAGGGGCCACTGTGGTGTAGAGGTAGGGCTGCTGACTTGGGACCAGAAAGTCGCAGTGCAACTCCTCGCCATGCCCACATGTTGGGGTGTCCTTGAGCAAGACACCTACAGTAATCACCAACTGCTCCCTGGGAGCTTACATAGCTGCCCACTGCTCCACCTGTGTATCTCACATGTAATGGGTTAAATACAGATAACTAATTTCATCATTGTATAGAAACATACAATCATGACAACATATAGCATTTTTTAATATATATATATATATATATATATATATATATATATATAATCTATTTCTTTAAGCTTATCTGTCACATCCATAATGACCCAAGGCAGTTGAATTTAACCCTTCATAAGAATTTCTTTAACCTGACAAAGCGAGAGCATTCATGTATTTTGGGGGGGGGTTTTTTTTTTTTTGAGTTTCTGCCAGCGAGAAGCAAAATGTCTTGAAGAAAAATTAGTTCACTTCTCCTACTCAGATTTCCACATCCTGAATAATGTGAGATAGACATCTAGATAACCTTCCTTAGATGGATCACTTTTACCAATTGGCTTTTCATGCATGTGAATGTTTCTGTACTGTGCCCTGAGATAACTTCTGTTGTGACTTGGTGCTATATAAATAAACTAAATTGAACTAAATGGCTGAGAATCTATGCAGTCTTTTTATTCGAGTATATAGAAAAAGATTTGCACTTGGTAGGCATACTATAATACTTATCAGATAAAGAGTGGATTTAGCAGCTCGGCTGGTGGCAGGTCGTATGAAGGAAGTGGAAATAGTCGGCCAAGCAAAATGTCTGCAGTTAATGACCTCTGAGTATGTCCTTGTCCCTGGGATAAAGTGACCTGCAAGGGTACAGATTTAACTTTGCACAACTCAGCACACCACCTGACCCTTTGCAACAAACACCCCCAACATCTGCAGAATGAAGGCCCTAAACTTCTGGATAGAAACAATGGAAATAAACCAAAATCACTGGTTTAGCTGTGGTAGAAATATATACATTTATGAAGATTTTCAAAAAGCAAGGCTTAAAATTCATATATTTTTATCAATATTGTTGGCAGCCAAAAAGCAAAATGTGGGCAACATTGCATGTGTGTGAGAGTGTGCTTAAAAACACACAATGCTATAAGTCGGCCAGTTTAACAGATAATGGCCTAACGTTTAGTCCACTAGAAGCTGAGACTATGTCCTTACACATACTTTGAACACTAACAGACTGAGCAATGTCTTTGTCTAAAATTTTGCCAATGACTACTGGATTCAACTCTGTCTGTTGTCTCATGAAACACTAGACAGATTTCAATGAAACCTATAGAAATGAATCACTACAATGCATACATCTACATATGATTACCTTTTAGAATCAGCCTGATTCAAGATAACCGCCAGAGCCAATCAGGATTAACCAACACAATAACTGCTCTAGCTCTGTCAATTTTACAAACTATTATACTATAATTTGATGTGGTTGTAGCTGACGGTCATTCAAAAGACATGTTCTGGGTATGAAATCTTGAAATATTGCACATGTTTATACAAGTTTTTTTTTGTTTGTTTGTTTTTGTTTTGGACATTTTTAACGTTTGACAAAAGAGCTACAACCTCGTTGTGTCTTTTCGTAAGAAGATCTTAGTCTAAAACGTTGGCTAGAACGGCGATGGGTGAAATGCACTCCTTTAAGGAATGCTTGATCTTTAATTATCCCCATCACAAAGCGAAGAGAGGACTTAAAAATACCCTCCCTCCGTCTGTCCATCTGTCTGTCTTTTGAGCTGAATAACTTGAAAAATAAGCAACACACTGATTTGCATTTTGGTGTGGCTGCATGTTAGAAAGGTAACTATTAAAATATTGATAATCACGTCAAAATCCAAGATGGCCACCACAATGTAAACCAGACACCCCTATCATTTGAGAAAACTACTCTTTATCTTTTTTATTTTTTATTTTTTGTAAGACACCCTTTATTATACAAATTTGAATGTATTTTTTGCGAATTTGTTAAGAAAATAGTGTTTTTTGTATAGACTAAAAGGTACACATTATTTTATTTTACTCATTTATGTATATATTTATGTAACTTTTTTAACTTTATTTAGTTTACTTTGTAAATTGCAAGACCTTTACACCAATACTGCCAATGTCTGTGGTTATTATTTATATATCATTATTCCTTTGTTTATTTATTTTTTTTCTTTAATGTAATTTGATATTATTGTGTTGAAGATCTGTATATGCAATGTTATTTGTTCGAAATAAATTACTTTTTGAGAGGGAAACATTTTTGAGAAAACTATGCTTTCTAGTTTTTATATTGCTTAAAAGTATAGTTTCCACAAATGGTGGCCTGTGGGGTGGGCAAAGATTAATTTATGGAGACCAAGGGCCACCATTAGCCACTCCCTGGCTCAGTCATTGCACTTGTGGTGGATAAAATTGTTGCTTTGGCTCTCCAGTTGCTCTGTCACTCTGTGGCGCCTCGGACAAGCACAAAGAAAAACCTACCTCTGTTCTTTTGCACAGTGTAATGCCTACCCACTTGAATATCTTGCACCAAAAACTTTTAGGTTTAATCGCACTCCCTGTTCAGTTCCAGTCCAGAAAAACACGTCTTAAAAACTAAACATTTACTATTCAAATCCCAATGGGAAACATTGGTGTACCGTTTGCTTACATTTTTGCCCTTACATATACAAGATTACCTTGCAAAATTCAGTCTATTCTACATTAGCAGGTATCTTTTAATATAATAAAGGTAACAGGTTTAATGTTTTCTGCCTCCAGACATGACTGGATCAGAAAACCCGGCTCTCTGTTTCATGGCTTTCATGCAGTCTGCACAGACAGGACCATGCTGTGACTTCATTACAGATCTGACTTTTTCCCCAAGCTTTCTGGGGTATGTGATAATTAATATGTGTTATCTGATACAGCATGATATAAAAGGATTAGAACACCTGTGAATAATCTCGCAGCTCGTGCTGTATTTGTCTTTGCAATCGCATTCAGTTTGATGCTTTTTAAATCAAAGCTTTCAGAGAACAAAAAAAAAAGAAAAAGAAAAAAAAACGGCTGGCAGAATTTTTAAATTCAACCTCAAAGAAATGTTGGAAAGCAAGTTCTGGATGGCCTTTATCGTCATTTGAATTTTGTCCCAGTTTCACGCCCACACTCTCTTTTCGAGTTGGCACTGTTGCTGTGCTTATAAGCCTTGGTGAAAAGAAAACATGGTGGAATTGACACTAAGAAGATAAGTGACTAACATGCAGAGACAGATTGTAGTATTGGCTTAATTTGAGCCATTCTGTGTACATCCTGGGTGGTTCTTTTTGTTCAAAGATAACATTTGTTGGAATAAACAAGGTCTTTAAAAAATATATAGTTTTGTTCAAAGGGCTATAGTTCATATATGTTAAAGTAGGGCTCTGAGAAAAAGTAAAAACAGTTAACATCTTACCCGTTGTAGTTATCGCTTTGAATGACCTTACCCGCAGTAAACTTGGCATAATTACTTCATCATTTTTGATAGTTTTTGGTGATACCGTGTGAATGAAAACATTTTCAGTAAACATGCCATGTTTACATGGATATTTTTAGAAACGACTAAAAAGTTTGTTTTGATGTTTCTGCGTGAACAAGACTTTAAGTTTCCTGCATGCTCTCAATGAGGGCGGACGTTTTTACCTGCTGCTCCTGCTTTGCTCTTTGTCATGTGATTCCTATCTGAGCTATTTTCTACATATCCTCTGAATTGTAAATTATGGATCTGGTCAACTGGTCTCAACGCAATTGATAAAATTTTCTTGACGAGAAGACAGGGCGAAGGAGATCCCTCATGCCATGCAGGGACACTCACAGCTGGATACACTATGGATTCCTGGGGCCAGTGGAAGATGATGTGTCTGTATTGTTCATTGAGGATGTAGAAGATGCTTACATAATTGAATTTATGATAACTGGATTTCTGCTTTTTGGTGTTGGCTGGTATCTGGCATATCGACAAATTCAGAAGACAGTGGCAGCCGTTCTGGCAATCGTAAGGCTGACTGCCTTGTATGAAGGAATGTACCGAGCGGTAAGCACTCAGACAGATGCTGCATGAGCTGAGCCATAAGCTGGAAGTGATTTCTGAGAATTGCAGGCCACTTGTGAGTCCTGGGGCTCACTGGCGGGAAGGAATCGACCTTGGAAGAAGGCTACAAGCTTGGTCCGGCGGTGTGACCACAAAATTTGGCTTTTTGGAATCGCCTGAGACATCCCAGCAGAATTGTGAAGGCAGACATGGAAATTCAAGCAGAGGCTGCCTGACCCAAAATAATTGTGTTATATGAATTAGGTTTCCCCACTCGGCCTTGAATTGGCCAGCTATCTCAAACTTCTCCTGGTTGTTTATGTGAATGTGAAGTTCTGCTCCCCTATCGCTCCCCTCTTGAGGACGTCTGTGGATCTGTGTCAGCATTGACTCGGCTGATAGACACTGTGCCATCTTTATCAGGACTATAGAACTTTCTGGCAATGTCCAAGGACAACTCACTGCCCTCGTCGGCCTCCGCATGGATAAATGTATTATGATGTCATCAGTATGTTGCTGTTTCATGTGCTGAGGTCTTTTTTTTTTGCAACTTTCACACTGTGCCCCGTCTATGCGCTGCACCTCTCGAGGCCGGCGGCCTTAGTCACCTCCGTATCCCCATGTCTGTTTGTTATGTTTCTCTCAGATGGGCTGTACTGAAATGTAATTTTGTTGCGCTTCAATGCAACGACAATAAAGCCGACTTTGATTCTGATTTATGGTAAGGCATGACAGATATGCATATAAGCTTGAGAGCATGTACCACTGTCTGTTATAATGATGGTACTACTTAGACTAGTTACAAAAAGTTGGAGAACCACTGATCCCTTCATTTGTCCCTGACTCTTTTTTTATTTTTGCCTTTTTAAAAACATTACATTGTCTGTCTTTCTTGTCAGGTCGCACCATCATTTTGTCAACACACCATATGGACGAGGCAGACATTTTAGGAGATCGAATTGCCATCATCTCCCATGGCAAGATGCGTTGCTGTGGTTCTTCACTCTTCTTGAAGAAATGTTTTGGGAGCGGCTACTACCTAACTCTGGTCAGAAGTGGGACTGAAAAAATGTCAAATCAACGACAAAATATGACCCAGAGACATATCAACGAGAAAAAAACAGTAAGCACGAGTGGTTTTTACTTACTGGTTTAGTTTTTAGTTGGCTGATTGATGCCTGTTTGGTACAACCTCTGGACAAATTAGGCCAAGGTTCTTTGGTGTTCAGCCCTGGAATCTGTGATCATGGTATACCTATTTACTTCTGTTGCAACTTGTATTCAATCATCCATTTATCAATTTTCAAACACTTATTCAAGGTTGGGTAGCAGAGCTAACAGGTCGAAGAAAAACTAAATCAGACATTCTTCTCCTAAGCAACACTTTCTAACTTTCTACTTTCTTCTCAAGGTGTTCCCAAAGCACAAGAGATGTATAATCCCTCCAGCTGGGTAAAAGTCCCAAACCACCTTTGCTGACTCAGTTCAATTCAGTTAAATTCAGTTTATGTATATAGCGCCAAGTCTCAACAGAAGTCATCTCAGGGCACTGAACAGAAACATTTATATATAAAAATAATAAGTTAACAGAAACATTCATATGTAAAAATAATAATTTAACACTATTTATCAGCAGACTGCTTTGAATTTAACTCCACCACAGAACTCTCATCTTGAGCAAGCATGAAGGTGACAGTGGAAAGGTAAACCTCCCTCATGAGTAAGAAACCTTTAACAGAGCCAGGTTCAGGACAAGCAGCCATCTGCTTCAACCGGCTGGGTTAGATAGGAACATATACACAATGGCAGGTCGAGAATCACGTTACGATAGAAATAGTATCAAATGAAAACTATTTAATTTTAACAATTCATTTAAGGAAATGAGGTCAAATTGTCCTCTAGTTGTCTAAGCTTAAGACAACATAACAAGCCAACCCTAACTATAGGATTTAATAAAAAGGAAAGTCTTAAGACCAGTCTTAAAACTGGACAATGTGTCAGCCTCACAGATAGAAACTGGATGTTGGTTCCACAAAAGAGGAGCCTGATAACTGAAAGATCTTCCTCCCATTCTGCTTTTGGAAACTCTAGGAACCATGAGTAAGCCTGCGGTCTGAGAGTGAAGTGCTCTGTTAGGAAAATATGGAACAATAAGATCTCGAATATGAAATGAAGCTAGGTTATTGAGAGCTCTCATTTTGATGAGAAGAAGTAGCTCCTCTGAGGTTCTCCAAGAAGACTGCACTCTTTATCCTATCTGCGAGACCAACACGACAATCCTTCAGTGGGCTGCTGCTTGTGTCCAGGTTTGTGTTCTTTCAGTCATGGTCCATATCGTCTGACCATATGAGGGTTGGGACGTAGATGGACCAGAAAATCAAGAGCTTTTTTTAATGGATTTTGACAACGGTCTGTGCAGCTGACCCTTGTTACTGCAGATGAAGTCCCTATCCCTCCATCCATCCTTCACTTATGAGCAAGATACCAAGATACTTGAACACTTCTGCCTGTGGAGGAGGATATTTGAGGACAAATTAATTCTAACAGTTATCTCAATTTTAACAACATGGATGTGGGGATGAGTAGTTTACACATTTTACTCGTTTTCCATCAGCTCTAGTCGATGGTTGATTAGTTCATGCTACAGTGGGAACATCTGATCATAAAGTCTTCAAGAAAAAGATCTGCCAAACTGAACTTGGGTGTCTCAGACACACAGATCCAAATATATCAGTATGAACAGGCATCAAGAAGAAGAAGCTCCTGAAGAATAAAAGCTTCCCACTGGGATTTTATTTTTATTTAATACACATCTAAATGGTTTATGGCCATACCACCCTGAACTCGTCTGATCTCGGAAGCTAAGCAGGGTTGTGCCTGGTTAATACATGGATGAGAGACCGCCTGGGAATACCAGGTGCCGTAAGCTTTTAGTGGCAGCACGGTGGCTCAGTTGGTAAAGCTGTTGCCAGTTCAAATCTCAGGATCTTTCTGGGTGGAGTTTGCATGTTCTATCTGTGCATGCATGGGTTGTCTCTGGGTACTCTGGTTTCCTTCCACAGACCAAAAACATGCATGTTAGGCTGATTGGTAACTCTAAATTGTCCCTAGCTGTGAGTGGGAGAGTGAATGGTTGTTTGTCTCATTTGTCTCTATGTGTCTCTGTGATGGACTGGAGACCTGTCCAGGGTGTACCACACCTCTCGCACAGTGACTGCTGGATATGGGCACCAGTGACCCCGGTGACCCGAAAAGGAAGAAGCGAGCAAAGATAATGGATGTATGGATGGATGGATATCTGAATTACTTCTAAAACGGCCATAGACATTTTAGCTAAACTTGAGCTGAACGTTTTAAGTTTTGCAGTCGTCTATAAAATGTTTGGGAAATGTATTCAAATCTTCTTCACATGTTCCATCACAGACTCTGCCCACTGCCCCTCATTGAATGCATGCAGCTTTATTTGAGAAGCTTGTTGATGCAGGTTATTTGATTAATGCTTGACAGGAGCCGTCAGGGATGTATTGTTCATTATCCTAAGTGGTAAGGTATGATAAAGCCTTTCTAATCCAATTCTGATTAACAGGAGACGGACTGCCCTTCCAGGAGCAGTCCAGATGATGGCATTGGCAGTCAAACCTGGGACAACTCAGATCCCACAGGTACACATTTCACCTACCCCTTCACTTATTTTATAATTAGCGTTATGTAAACCAACACCATACAAACACTTTAGACATGACACATTAAGTTACCATTCCAGTTGTACTTCTTTAAACTTTTAGATACTTTATGACAAATATTCCGCTTATATTTAATGTGCGGAAGCCACAGCTATTTACTAACATGACGTTTAGTTGTTTTTATTTGAGTTGAAATCAAATTAATTTTATTTAGATTGAATTATACACCTTTTGTTGCCAAATCAATGCTAAATTGAAAGAGTTAAATAGAGTAAAACTGAATTTAATTTAACCTGACACTGATGTTCTCCTTGGTCTTGAGATTTAAAGTCATAGATAAAGACTGAATTCACCGACCCAGTTTCAGGCAGCCAGAGAGGAGGGTCTTTGTGTATTTTTTTTATTTAATTTTCTCAGAATATGCACCATTTATTTTCAGACATATTTTTGTTCTTTTTAGATTTCCTGGAAGAATCGCAAACATTTTGAGCAAAAAAATTCTAAATTGAAAAAAAAAAATCACTAAAAGCATTTTTTGCTCTTGACCCCTCCCCCCCCCCCCCTCTCAGAAAAAAAAAAAAAAAAAAAAAATAAAAAAAAAAAAAAAAAAAAAA